ACAGGGGGGTGGTTTTTCTGACGGCTTCCCCCAGGCTCCTGCTCCACCTGATTTTCCTGGCGCCCGTCCTGGTGGTGGTGATGTGGGTGAAGCCCATCTCCCGGGATTTCCTGCTCCACGCGCCCATGGGCAAGGAGACGGTGCAGCTGTGAGTGGGACTGTGAGTGGGACGCGGCTCCACGTGCTGCTCCCGGGGCAAACTGAGGCACGGGGGGGGGGCCTCCCCTCCTCCCCCTGCACCACCCCCTGTCCCGGCAGACCCCCTCGGGGGCTCTGCCTCCCGGGATCTCGCCGGCAGCTCCCGTTGTTCCCGCAGCATGTCGGACTCAGCCTTCGAGAGCGCGCGGCTCTGGAGCATCGTGGGGCTGTGCCTGCTGCGCCTGCTCGGCGCCCGCCGCCACCTCCAGGCCTACCTGGGGCTGGCCGAGCGCTGGGTGGAGCAGATGAGGAAGGAGGCCGGGCGGATCCCGGCCCTGGAGATCCAGCAGAAGGTCGGGATTTGGGAGCTGGGGCGCGGGGAGGGGTTGGGGGGGTGGCTGTGCCGGGCTGGCGGCGACTGATCCCGCTGCTGCCCCACAGATCACCAGGATCTACTGCTACGTCCCCGTGGTCACCCTGCAGTACCTGGGGCCCGTCATCCTCACCCTGCACTGCACTCTGCTGCTCAAGACGCTGGGTGAGGAGCTGGAGGGGGCAGTGGGGGGGTCGTGGGGGGCTCAGGAGGGGCGGGAGGAGACCTGCGGGTCATTGCGAAGCCGCCAGCGCCCACCTTGTCCCCAGAGTCAAGATTTAGACCTCACAACCATCTACAGCTTCCTCCTGAGGGGCAGCACCAGCCTCTGCTCCCTGTGAGCAGGGACAGGACCCAGGGAACGGCTGGAGCTGTGCCAGGGGGGTTGGGATGGATATTGGGAAAAGGTTCTTCCCCCAGAGGGTGCTGGGGCACTAACCAGGCTCCCCAGGGCAGTGGGCACGGCCCCAAGGCTGCCAGAGCTCCAGGAGGGTTTGGACAACACTCTGAGGGACAGGGTGGGATTGTTGGGGTGTCCTGGGCAGGGCCAGGAGTTGGGTTGGTGATCCTTGGGGGTGCAGCTTGGGGCGTTCTGGGATTCTATTCCGTGACTGTCCCTGGTTTATGGTTGGCACAGACCTGCAGGGAGGGTGCTGGGGCTCTGTGGGGACGGGGCTGCAGCTCAGGGACCGCCCCCCCAGCCCTGTCCCCTCTGTCCCACAGGACACCTCTCCTGGGGGCTGTACCCGGAGCCCCCCCCGGTGTCCCCGGTGGTGGCGGCGCCGGGCCCGGCGGGCGAGGAGGGCGAGGACGTGCAGGTGGTGGTGCAGCAGATCACGGGCATCCTGGACTGCATCTTCACCCCCCCCTTGCTCCGGGGGCTCTTCTCCTTCCTCACCTGGTGGGTGGCCGCCTGCCAGGTCGTCACCAGCCTCTTCGGCCTCTACTTCCACCAGTACCTGGCGGGGTCCTGACTGGGGGGAGCTGGGACGTGTCCGTGCCCGGCTGCTGCTCCTGCCTTGGCCGGTTCCTCCCCCCTTTGCACGTGCTGGTGGCACCCGTGGACACGTGGGGGGATGTTTCTGCTGCCGGCTCAGGGCAGGACGGGTTTCGTGCCCGGGTCAGGGTGGGCATCGCCCGCCCTGTCGCCCGTCACCTCCGTGCCTGCTCCCACCCCCTGCAGCCCCTCTGCCCCCTCCTGACCCAGCGTGGGGACACTCCACTGCTGTGCCCTCCTCGAGGGCAGCAGCAGCTCCTGCCAGCCCAGGTTGGTACCTGCTGGGCAGAGGAGGTGGTGGGGACCTCCAGCACAGACTTTGGGGTGTGCTCTGCCTCGTGTTTGCCTCCGCCAGCTGAGGGTGTTTTTGTAGGGTCTCTGCCATGGCCAGCTGGGTCAGAGCTCCTTGGCACCATCCCTGTGCTTCCTGTGAGCCCTCAGGCCCAGCAGCCTCTGCCTTGGCCGGGTTAGGAATAAATCAGTGACCCAGAGTCGCTGCCATCCCAAAAGCTGCTGCTTGGTTTGCACTTTTGTGTCCCCAAAGTCCCCCCTCCGAGCAGGGCAGGGGGTCCCACACGTGGGTGCAGCTGCTTTTTGGCACCACGCTTGAGGAGGAGACCTCGGCTCACCCCAGCCCAGCTCAGTGCCTGTCCCTGTCCCTGTCCCTGTCCCTTCCCTGAGCACTGGGGTCACCCCGGGGCTGGTGACACCGCTCAGCCCCGCTGGCTGTGGGGGTGGGGACAGGGGACAGGGCCCCTCGTCCCTCTCAGCCGAGCTCTGCCACGTGGTGGGTGCTGGTCCAGCTGCATGAAACAGGATTAGCAGGTCTGGGCTGCTCAGAGAAAGGGAGAGGGGCTCTGATCCTATTTGATAGCCTTGTAATGGTCTTAATTCCCTCTTGCTAAGGGCCAGGATGAGACAGCAGCCCTTTGCCCGGTGTTAACTGGGCTAATCCAGCCCTCTCCTCCTCCTCCTCCTCCTCCTCCTCCTCCTCTCCCCTGAGAATCCACGTTGTGGACACGTAAATTTGACCAAAAAAATCACGGGGAAATCCCCATTTTGCAAATGCCCGGGGGATGCAGAGCCCGGCAGGGCACCAGGGACCAGCACAGGGGCAGCAGCAGCGCTGGCACCGCGGGGATGGTGCGGAGGGGGCGAGGGAGAAGCGATTCCCGCAGGGATCCGGGCGCGGATCTGAGCCCTGTCCCAGCCCGTGGCCGTGCCACTGAAAGCCAGCCCGGCCGCCTTGATGGCTCATTTATCTGATTTCCCGGCGGGCTGGGGCGGTTGCCAAGGCCGGGGGTTGCGCCGGAGTCAGACACGCAGACGGATCCTCCCCTGGGATGTGCCCAGACTGACCCTCCCCGGCGGGGACAATGACGGATGGAGCAGCCGAGAGCAGGAGACGCGGCCACGGGCTCCCAAACCGGGCCACAGCACACGCAGGGAGCGATTCCCACCCCCCTCCTCCACCCTGGGATCACTCCCACTCTTTGTACCTTGGTTTTGGGCCGGGCTGGGCTCTGCAAGGACCACGCTGGGGCTCCCAGGAGATGGGACAGGGAGGTTTTGTTGCTGCAGAGGCTCTGCTGGCACCAGGATTCAGTCTGGACCTTCCACCGGCCTCCCTGAGCCACACTTGGAGCTCTGCCTTCCCCCAGCCCTCTCCCATCCACACTGAGATCCCCCCACCACCCTGCAGAGCTGCTTGGAGCAGCCTGGAGGGAATTAGGGAGCAGCTCTCCCCAGAGCTGGCAGCCCAAGGCAATCCAGGGTGGATGGTTCCCAAACACAGGGAGCCAGGAAGCCAAAGGAAGGCTGGAGCTGGTCCTGCTCCAGGGAAGATGGACAGGGAGCAGCTCCTACGAGGTTCAGGGCAAGTCTGAGCCTCTGGGTCTCGATTTCCCTGGGGATACAATGGGACATCCCAGGGAACAGCAATGGGATACAGGGAGGCTGCTCTGGCAGGGCTGGACTTGTCCTCCCTGCTCTGACCTCCTTACCTTGCACTGCACTGGGTGCCACATCCACACCAGGCCTGGAATGCGGCTGGAAAACACCAAAACCCCCCCAGACTGGCAGCAGCTGGGGGTCCCCAAGCTGGGGGAAGCCACCAGGCCGTGGCTAAGCCGACAGTGCCACCTGCTGCCACCACACACCCGGCCCTGTGTCCCTGTCCCACACCACGGCAGGGCCTGAACCAGCCCCAGGGCTCCTTTCCCTCCTTCCAGGCTTCTCCCGACTTCCCTGCAAAGCCCCTCCCAACAAACCCACCCCGGGTTGTGGGACCCCCCCTCACCGTGGAACACGAGACACCCCCGGGGAGCCCGCGAGTCAATTCGATTTTTTTATTATTAAATATACATCCTCTCTTGGCACAAATCTTAAAATATATAAACATTATATATATATATAACAAAGTGTCTTCACTGCAATAAAATAGAACTCCAGATCCAAGAAAAGCAGTCAAAATCGACACACACACACACACACACACACACTGATGGTGAGGACACAAAAGGCATTTTAACAGTGTTTGTGCTAATAAATGCATAGACCACACAGGCAGTGAGCAGTGCTGGGAAAACCTGCAGGGCATGGCATTCCAGGGGGGGACAGAACAGGAGGAAACAGCCCCTACAAGATCCAAAAAAAAGGCTGTTTTGTAGGAAGGCCACCTCCTCCTCCTCCTCTGCCCCAGTCCAGGTGGGGAGAGCCCAGAATGTACCCCCAGCTCTCTGAGGAGCCCAGGAACCCAGCCAGGAACCTGGGAAGTACCTGCAGAGCCCAGGAACCCAGTCAGGAACCTGGGAAGTACCTGCAGAGCCCAGGAACCCAGTCAGGCACTGGGGAATCTCCCTGGGAAGGATCCCAGCACATTCCCTGCCCGCCCAGGACCGGCACCGGCCTCGCTCGGCGCTGCCACGTCACCTCTGCTCAAAGTCTCCCTTCATCTGCTTTTGGGTTAAAAGACAAGAGGGTGAAGATGGTGCTCGAGTCCTTCCAGGTGGAAGGCAAAGGGAAGTGCCACAGGGAGTTATGGAACTGCTCCTGGAGAGCTCCCAGGGAGCCCCACACTGCCCAGCCCGGGAGGCCGGGACTCCTCTCCCGATCCTCCCACCACGGTGCCACCGCCCTCCAGCCACGCCAGGCAAACAAGAAAGCCAGCTCAGATCCTGCCTCCCACATCCTCAAGTGACCCTCTGAGCTTCCCAAGCTCTTCCCGAGGAGGCACCTTCCAGCCAGCAGCCACTCCCAGGGAGCAAACGGGGCGTCCTTGGAGGTACCGCGAGGAAACGACACGGAGCAGCAGCAGCATCTCAGCTCCTTAAGGGAAGGAGCTGGGACAAGGGAAGGTGCTAAACTGGACAAAAAACTTCCAAAAAACCCCCTTCCTTCCTATCACTCAGTGCCTGTAAGTTCTTGGTCCCCCCCAGGAGCACCGAGGCCTGTGAGGGGGGACGGGGTCGGGCTGTTTGGGCGCTGCTGGAGAGCTGCAGTTTTGTCATTTTGGATGCATTTATTGGACCTGATTTTCTCGAAGTGCTAGTGCAGGGCTCAAGGTGCAGAAGCAGGAGGGAGGGAGAAAAAAAGCACAGATTCCTGCTTGGCTGTAACACGTTAAAGGAACGGCGGGAAACGTGACTCGGGAATCAAAAGCAATTCGAGGAGAACGAAATGAAAAACGGGGGGAATTGCAGCAGTAGCAAAGAAGTTCTAAAGAAAAGAAGGAGTAGAGGATATTCCTGTTTGACTTGTCTCCTTTCTCAGGGCTAAAGGCAAAGGACCTTCTTGGCCAGCACACAGAGAACCCCCCTTCCCAAAGCAGGACACCTGATTCCAGGCAGCAGAGAGATCTGGAACGTGTCTCAATCCATGCAAGGAATAAGAGAAGGGAAGAGAACACTCTGTTTCTCCTTTTCTACATTCAAATCGGAGAAAGGAACAAAAAAAAACCACCCCCACTATTTAAAACGACCCAAAGCAGTAACACACAGTTACTTCAAACACTTCTGCCCCAAGAAACAAAAGCACCAAAACCACCCCGGACTGAATCCAAAGCTCTGCCTCCGAACAAACACTCAGCCTGCAGAACTTGGAAAAACAGGTTTGGCTCAAATTCCACTGAATTCCAATCAGGTGCAGCTGCTAATTTAAGGAACAACTTCTCTTGGCCCAGTGCTTCCAAGTTTGGCTGTGCTTGTTCCTCAGCTCCAGGTTCTGGCTGCGAGGGGGGGGTTCCAGGCTCAGCCTCTTCCAGGGGATTCCCATCCACTCAACCCACTGGCTGCACTCCTGACAGGGCAGAAGATTCCCTGGGCAGATCTGCCCTCCCATTCGCTCCCAGTCACCCAGGAAATCCTTTCTCAGGAGGAGTTAAAGCACCTCTGTGGCCACAGGGGTTCGGTGACGCTCTGGGATGATCCACTAATTCCACGGAGCACAGGAAGCAGCTCCAGCCTGGATGCCACAGTCCAGCTTCTCCTTCTCCTCCTCCTCCTCCAGGGCTGTGCAGAAAGGAAGGAGCTGTCCAGGCTGGGAGGGGATGGGCATGGATTGGACACACAGACACACAAACAACCGCTCACACGCCTGGGAACAAGGATTTCCTCACCGGGCTGGACAAGGGAGAGACAAGAGCGGGATAACTGGGCTTCTCCATTGGAGAAAAGAAATCAGGAGCTCTTGCAAGGACCGAGCAAAGCTTCACCCGAGGGAGGAGAAGAGCTGAGAACACCTTCTGTCAGCAGCAGGAGCAAAGGACACCCAGAACTCAGGGCCATCGTCCCCACGGGCTCTCACCCCCCCACACTGACAGTTCTCTAATCACAGATCAGGGGCTGCAGTCAAGGGATGCCCAAATCACAATTTCTGGGCCTGGAGGCAGAAGTTACCGAGGTTGACACCCAGCCAGTGAAGTCTGGTCCGTCCCAGCTCTGGGAACAACATGTTAACACCTCAGTGTGCTGGCTCTGGGCCACGGCCACAACGTGCAAGTGGAGGTGCTTGATTCCTAAGGAAATATTTGGCATTAGAAGCAAGTTCTGCTCCAAAGAACAAGTGCAAAGACAAAAGAAAGGAGAAGGCTGCCTCTACCAGCTGTGCAATTACCTCCATTCCCATTAATCCGTGACACAAGGCTCAAGCTACAACAGCTGAAGTGCAAACACCGGGAAAGGACAGATTCTAATTTATGCCTCATTTTTCTTCTATACATTATGGACTGTGCAGGGCTAAGAAGGGATTTTTTATCTTGGTACAGGTAATCTGATTCTCAGGGAAGCCTGAAGTTTGCTCTGACCTCTCTTGCACTCCAAATTTAATAAGAGGAACGGATCACAGAACACCCCCACCCCCAAAATCTCCATTTCCCTGAAAACTGATTTGAAATAGAAACACCAAAAGCTTCTTCACCATTAATTTTCAAATTACCAGTGGAAGTGATTGGCACTACATAGATCATTTCTGAAGGGTCAGCAACTGGCTGTGGTGCCCAGAATCCCAAGGACCAAGCTGGTCCAGGAGAATTTTAGGAATGGGAAAGCAGGTGGGATGAGGTGTGGATTAACAAACAGAGGTGACACGACCTACACAGCAGGTACCCAAAGACAAAAAGGTTGTTCAGAAGCAATGCCAGAAGCTGGAATCAGCTCCCAGGCTGGTTCCACCACACAGGGACAGCTTTTTTTTGGGACAGCAAAGTCAGGTGTTTGTTCTCACGTGGTGCATAGAGCAGCAACAATAATACTGAAGGATAAAACTGCTTGAACTGTAAGGATGTAACACCCTCTCCTAGGGCATCAACACTGATAAATCCCTTGGAAAATGCTGCCTCCAGACTAGGACAACATGGAAGGGTTTGGGCAGCCCCAGAACGTGACTGCAGTTTGAGTCAATCCGGTTTGGGAATCCAGGCCCAGCCCTGACCCGACAACAAGGACAACACACACGAGAATTCCATTCCCAAAACGGTTCAGAACTTCCCTCCCCTGCTGCCCAAAGTCTTTGGTAATCTCAGAGGGACACCACGAACAAGGGGGATTTATGCAACTCAACCCAAAAGTGAGAGAAACAACTGGAGAAGGGCAGAGAAACATTCACCTTCCAGGACAAGAGCAGTGTCCTGTGGAGAGCACGCTCCCAGCTCGCAGGAACACGTGGAATTCCCTCCAGACTAACTGGAATATTGCACTTGGCAGGCTGCCTCCAGCTCACACGTGCTCTGGGAGCTCCAAACTGCCTGCCAGGAGCAGCAGCCGCCGCTTTCCCACATCCAGGGGGTCATTCCAACAGCACCGAGTCCCCTCTTCCATCATCCCCCGCCTCCTCCGCCCAGGGGGGAGCGGGAGCAGCACGGGTTGGCTTGGGAAGCTCCACTCCTGGCACCAGAGTCAGGCAGAAGGGGCGAGGCAGCTGCTTTGGAGGACTCAGCTCTGCGGGGTCGGAGGAATTTTGTTCGGGGTTTCCGAGGGACTCGAGAGGGCTCGTTAAAAAGGACCAAAAAAAAAATAATAATCATAAAAAAAAATAATCCAGGAAGGACAGGAAACCCAAACAAGGCAGGTGAGTTCTGGAGCTGCGGGAGGGCACAGGGGCATCGCTCTTCCTACAGGGTTTGGGACTCTTCCCCTGGCTGAGGGGGTGGAAGCACTACCTCTCCACGTGCTGCAGCTCACGGAGCAGGATCTGCCTCAGGTCAAAGGTGGTGAAGCTGATTCCCACTGTGTCCGAGGGACTCAAGAGGGCTCGTTAAAAAGGACCAAAAAAAAAAAAAAATTAAAAAAAACAAATCCAGGAACGACAGGAAACCCAAAACAAGGCAGGTGAGTTCTGGAGCTGTGGGAGGGCATCGCTTTTTCTACAGGGTTTGGGACTTTTCCCCTGGCTGAGGGGGTTCAAGCACTACCTCTCCACGTGCTGCAGCTCACAGAGCAGGATCTGTGGCAGGTCAAAGGTGGTGAGGCTGATTCCCACCGCGATGGGCCCTTTGAGGTTTCCGAGGGACTCGTTAAAAAGGACAAGAAAAAAAAAAAAATCCAGGAACAACAGGAAACCCAAACCAAGGCAGGCGAGTTCTGGAGCTGCGGGAGGGCATGGGCGAGGCGAGGGCTCTTTCTACACAGTCTGGGACTTTTCCCCTGGCCAGGGGCTGAGGGGGTTCGAGCACTACCTCTCCTCGCCCTCGCCGTGCTGCAGCTTGCGGAGCAGGATCTGCGTCAGGTCAAAGGTGGTGAAGCTGATTCCCACCGCGATGGGCCCTTTGACCCAGTTCATGCTGAGGCCTTTGTACAAGCCCCGGACGAGTCCCTCCTCCCTGACGATGTCCCGCATGGTGAGCAGGATGGAGCTGTAGGTGTGGCCCAGCACCCCGGCCGTCTGCATCCGCCGCCGCACCACGTCCAGCGGGTAGGAGGCCGACTGCCCGATGAGCCCCGCACAGGCCCCGAAGAGCAGCCTCTCCGGAGGGGAGGGCTGGGCCTTCCCGCTGTGATCTGCCAGGGAGAGAGCGGCAGAAGGTGGGAAACGGGGAAAAGGGAGCGCCCAAATCCAGCGCTCCCGGGGTTTTGGCCCCCAGTCCTTCCCGCGCCCGGGAATTGCGGCTTCTCGTCGCTTCTGCAAGACATGGTTTTCCTGCAGGTAAAGAGGCTCCCAGAGCTCCACAAGCCACTTTTGCAGCTGGCTCCAAGGGCAGGGAAAGGATTTGCACACCCGCAATCCAAACACCTGGAGTTGGCCCCAAAGTCAGCCCCAAACCTTTGCCTGCACTCCCTCAATTCCAACACCTGCAGTTGGCCCCAAAGCCACTCCCAAACCTTTATTTGCACTCCCTCAATTCCAACACCTGCAGTTGGCCCCAAAGCCATCCCCAAACCTTTATTTGTACCCCCTAATTGCAACACCTGCAGTTGGCCCCAAAGTCATCCCCAAACCTTTATTTGTACCCCCTAATTGCAAGGAGTTGGCCCCAAAGCCATTCCCAAACCTTTCCTTGCACCCCCTAATTGCAAGGAGTTGGCCCCAAAGCCATTCCCAAACCTCTCCTTGCACCCCCTAATTGCAACACTTGCAGTTGGCCCCAAAGCCATCCCCAAACCTTTATTTGCACCCCCTAATTGCAACACCTGCAGTTGGCCCCAAAGCCACTCCCAAACCTTTGCCTGCACTCCCTCAATTCCAACACCTGGAGTTGGCCCCAAAGCCACCCCCAAACCTTTATTTGTACCCCCTAATTGCAACACCTGCAGTTGGCCCCAAAGCCACCCCCAAACCTTTATTTGCACTCCCTAATTGCAACACCTGGAGTTGGCCCCAAACCCTTCCCCAAAAAGCAAACCTTTACCTGCCCCCCCCCAATTCCAGCACCTGGAGTTGGCCCCCAAGTCTCCCCCAAACCTTTACCTGCACCTCCTCAACCCAAACACCTGGAGTTGGCCCCAAGTCTCCCCCCCAAAAAGCAAAGCTTTACCTGCATGGACTTTCTTCAGCGTCTCGTAGGTGAAGAAGCTGAGCCCAGCGTAGGGGATCACCCCCAGGATGGTGGGGGTGAACCCCCTGTACAAGGTTTTCAGCCCTTCCTCCCGGGATATCCGGATGAAGACGTGGACAATGCTGCTGTACCTGCCAAGGGAGAGCAAAGCCGTGCTGGTCAGAGGCTGCACACCCCAGGAAATATTCCCAACAGCACTTTCTGAAGGATCAGCAATTAATTAACTGGGCCCTGAGCTCATCAGACAGCTCAGAAGGGATTTCAGCAGCAAACACAGACACCAATCCTGGCTCTCCCACAGCCCTTCCACCACTTGTGTCCTGCCTGCTGGATCTTTCTGGAAGCACCAAGTGGTCTCCTAAAGAACCAACACAGAGTTTCCAGCAGTGAGGTCTCCCAGTATCCATCTCCTTCCAGATCCAGGGCTCTGGTTGTTTAATCAGTGCTCAGAGCCCCAGCAATAAGAGGTTTATTGCACCAAAGGCTCTGAGCAAGAAGTGACCCAGAAAACGGGAATAAAGTCATCTGACCTTAAAAAAAAAAAATCCAGAAAATGGGAGTGAAGGCATCTGACCTTAAAAAAAAAATATATATAAATCCAGAAAATGGGAATAAAGTCATGTGATCTTAAAAAAAAAGAGCCAGAAAATGGGAGTAAAGGCATCTGACCTTGGAAAAAAAAAAATCCAGAAAATGGGAATAAAGTCATGTGATCTTAAAAAAAAAGAGCCAGAAAATGGGAGTAAAGGCATCTGACCTTAAAAAAAAAAAACCCACAGAAAATGGGAATAAAGGCATCTGACCTTGGAAAAAAAAATCCAGAAAATGAGAATAAAGTCATGTGATCTTAAAAAAAAAAACAAAAAAGAGCCAGAAAATGGGAATAAAGTCATGTGACCTTGGAAAAGATGACCCAGGAAATGGGAATGAAGGCATTTGACCTTAAGAAAAAAAAACCAGAAAATGGGAAAAAAGTCACATGATCTTAAAAAAAAAAAAAAAAAAAAACCAAAAAAAGGGAAAAAAAAGGTACCTGACCTTAAAAAACCAAAAGCTGTGCACTGTGGTGGTGGCTGCAGGGGTTGTTGTGAGGCACTTACATCTCCTTGGGCGTGACAGCCATGCGGGCACGGACCATGTCCAGGGGGTAGGTGACCATGGCAGCCGTGGTGCCCGCCAGGGAGCCGGCAATGAACCGAGGGAAGGGGGTCAGGGCCCTGCAGGAGGGGACAGAACAGACCAAACACATCACCTGGACAGGGAAACACCACTTTGGAGAATGGCTCTGCTCTCCCTGCTCCCAAATCCCTGCTCTCCCTGCCCCCAGACACCTTGTTCCTGACTCCATCCTTCCATTAATACCCCAAATACACCCTGTTCCCAACCCCATCCTTCCCTTTGCCCCCCAAACACACTATTCCTGACCCCATCCTTCCCTTTGTGCCCCAAACACCCCATTCCTCACCCCATCCTTCTACTGCCTCCCCAAACACCCTGTTCCTCACCCCATCCTTCTACCGCCTCCCCAAACACCCTGTTTCTCACTCCATCCTTCTATTGCCTCCCCAAACACCCTGTTTCTCACCCCATCCTTCTATTGCCTCCCCAAACACCCTGTTTCTCACCCCATCCTTCTACTGCCTCCCCAAAACACCCCATTCCTGACCCCATCCTTCCCTCAGGCCCCCAAACACCCTGTTCTTGACCCCATCCTTCCATTAATCCCCCAAACACCCCGTTCCTGACCCATCCTCCCATTAATCCCCCAAACACCCTGTTCCTCACCCCATCCTTCCATTAGCCACCCAAACACGCTATTCCTGACCCCATCCTTCCATTAATCCCCCAAACACCCCATTCCTGACCCATCCTTCCATTAATCCCCAAAACACCCCGTTCCTGACCCCATCCTTCCCTCAGGTCCCCAAACACCCCGTTCCTGACCCCATCCTTCCATTAATCCCCCAAATACCCTGTTCCTGACTCCATCCTTCCCTTGCCCCCCAACACACTGTTCTTTAAGCACACCACCCCGAGAGGGGCTGGCACAGCCCTGTGCCAACAGAGCTCCCCCCGGGGCAGCAGCCCTGCCCAGAGCTGCCTCCCTCCAGGCTGCTCCACGCTCTTCCCTCATCCTTACTTTCCCTGGAAGCCGTAGTAGCTCCCCAGGAGCTGCTTGTACTCCTCGTGGGCGCAGAACTGGATGGCGGCGTAGGGGACCACGCGGACCATGGTGGCCGAGTTCCCTCTCCAGAGGCTCCAGAAGCCCTCGTTGAGGTAGGTGCGGTAGATGAGCCTGTAAGCCTCCTGCAGGACACGGGGCGAGCAGGGGGTTACCCGAAAAATCCCGGGGGAAGGGGTGATTGTCACAGAATCATAGAATCATAGAATCATAGAATCAGCCGGGTTGGAAGGGACCTCCGAGATCATCCAGTCCAACCCTTGATCCAACCCCGCCGTGGTTCCCAGCCCATGGCACTGATGCCACATCCAGTCTCAGCTTAAAAACCTCCAGGAATGGAGAATCCACCCCTTCCCTGGGCAGCCCATTCCAATGGCTGAGCACCCTCTCTGCAAAGAAATTCTTCCTGATATCCAACCTAAACCTCCCCTGACACAGCTTCAGACCCAGCCCTCTTGTCTTGCTGATGGTTGCCTGGGAAAAGAGACCAACCCCCCCCTGGCTCCCCCCTCCTGTCAGGGAGTTGCAGAGAGTGAGGAGGTCTCCCCTGAGCCTCCTCTTGTCCAGGCTGAGCCCCCCCAGCTCCCTCAGCCTCTCCTCACAGCACTTGTGCTCCAGTCCCTTCCCCAGCCTCGTTGCTCTCCTCTGGCCCTGCTCCAGCCCCTCCATGTCCTTCCTGAGCTGAGGGCCCAGAACTGGACACAGCACTCCAGGGGTGGCCTCACCAGTGCTGAGTCCAGGGCAAGAATCACTTCCCTGGCCCTGTTGGCCACCCTGTTCCTGAGCCAGGCCAGGATCCATTGGCCTTCTTGGCCCCCTGGGCACACTCTGGCTCCTGTTCAGCTCCCTGTCCATCCCCACTCCCAGCTCCCTCATGGTTTGGTCTAGGCCTCTTCCCGGCAACCAGGTGGAAACCAAGGAAGCACCTATGTCCCAATATTCCACGCCATTCTTTAGGTAAGTAGGAACATAAATGGAAGCTGGAGGAAGTTAGTTGGCCAGATCTCTTCCGGCAAAGTTGGAGCTGGTCTTGCTCGTGTGGGAGTGAGGCCTGCGAGGCCCCGTTGTTTTTCCGATTCCAGAGGAAAGATTTGGTGGAGCGGCTTTCCTTTTCTTAAGGTAAGTATTAAGATTTTGGTTTGATAGCTCTTTATTGCTTGTGTATATCTGTTTTTTGGGGGGGTGTTGGGAGTTTCTTTCTTATGTGTGTATAGTTTTTGTAATCGTATATAAGTGTAAATACATATATATATATATATTGCTTTGGTTCTGTTATTTTAGGTTTTTTTGGTGTTTTTTTTTTTTTATTTCTCTCTTCCCTTTCCTTTATAAAAGGGAGGAGGGAAGCCCTTCTCCCTCCAAACTGCCAGGTTCCCTCCAAACTTCCCAGGTCCGAACTGCCACGGCAACCCTATGGATCAACCTCTCCAAGCGACCCCGACTGCTCCGTCTGGGACACAGCCAAGCAAGGTACAGGGAAGAGTTTGCCATCCCAGACACCTTCAACTTCCCCTGGGCTCAGAGCCGGGCTGGTGTTTGCACAAACCCTTCCTCCACCCCAATTCATCTCCTTAGGGCGAGGCAGAAACGTTTGGGTTTGCACACACAGCCCAAATGCAACAAAAAAACCCCCACCCCACAGCAAGGTGTGATAGAGGTCAGCTCCCAGATTTAATTCCCTATAAATGCTGAAATAAATCCTGTGGTGGTGGGGGGGGAAGAAAAAAAATCACCAGAGAAGGTCCCAAAAACAAGCCCTGAGTGATGTCACACTTAATGTTGGGTAAAACCCGGAGTATGAGCAAGGACTGAGCCCCTCTGTGCCACCAACAATCTGATTAAAAACTGCCCTTTAATAAACAAGACTACTCCCAGTCTTTCCCTCTGTGCTTTTCACTGAGTCCTCCTAATAAATCCCAAGCAAGAAAGTTAAAAAAAAAAGGCAACCAAAAGATGCAGTTGGAGCTATTACTGCCATTAATCAAACACTTCAGGGCAACAGCAGACAAGACACATCACCTCACCTTGGCAGAAAATCTTTTTGAAGACACTAAAAGGAGGGGAAAAAACAAAAAAAAAAAGGAACATTAGGTCTTGCAATACATTTAGATGGATCAAATATAAATAAACATTTGGTAAATAAATAAATCATAGAAGTGTTTTATCTGAGGGATAAAAAGAGAAGCAAAAGAATTAATGCAGGAGGAAGCAGGGATTGTTTTATAATAAAGGCTTAACACTGGTAACCAGCACAGAAGTTGGGAAAACGTTCAGTTCGTGCCACACACCACTGAAACAAAGGAATAAATACAGAATTAATTCAAACCCCAATATTTCAGCAGAGCATTTCCATGCCCAGGCTCCAAACCAAACGTGGGCCCAATTAAGCGGCTGCTGCAGCTTCTCCCTCACTCATCTGAGACTTGGAACCTCTCGAGTGCATCCAAGGATCACATGCAAATGCATTTTCACCACCCTGCTCCTTTATGCCATTCATCACTTTTGTTTTTTTTTTTTTTCTTTAGAAATAAACACAATTGTGATGGAAAAGAAGAAGCTCTTCTCCCTCTGCCACAGGAAAATTCAGAGAATTGTGGAAGCCCAGGAGGATTTGGGTTGGAAGGGACCTTAAAGACCATCCTTCCACCAGCCCAGGTTGCTCAGAGCCCCATTTTTCAGTCTCTAGTTAAGGGACAACCTTCCTCCACTCAATAACCCAAAGCAAAAGTGTCAAAAATAGGAAATATCCAGGTAATATCCCAAAGGTGCTTTGCCCCTGCTCGGACAGGGAAGAGCAAGAAGCTAAAATATCCATTAGGAACTAAGAGATTGCTCAAATGGGAACATTTGAATCACATCCTTTGCAGGGAGTTGGATGGGCCAAAGCAAACAGGTATTTTTATAAACGTGGCCTGTCCGAATTCCAGGGATTTCGGGTCAGCTGCTGACCCAGCCCAGTCCTGTGGTTCCATCCCACATCTCCAACCTGGGATGAACCAGGGGGTGAGCTGTGGTGGGAAAGCAGAGCAGGTCCTCCCTGCTGCACCAGCATCTGCTCCCAGGGGCAATCCCAGCCCAGGTTTTAATCCCCCTGATCCACATCCCTGCTATCCCTCAGCCCTCGCTGTGTCCACAGGGAAAATCACACCAAATGAAAGCCAATCCCAAATTAAATGCCAGCCAGGGATCAGATTAAACCCACCCAATTCAGTTGATCTGGGACATCAACCAGCTTTAAAATTCCTGCCTTTACCAAATGTCTCCTCAGTCAACAGCCTGTGCTGTTAATTATCCCTCTGGGATAATTAGTGGAGCTGTCAGTCCCTGCACTGGGACAGGGGGACCAAACAGAGCCCAGGATGGGGCTGAATCCCAAATCCTGCTGAACACCTGGCAATTTTCTGTTCCAAACAGACGAATTTCACTTTCTGTTCCACAGTTCAGGGGTTCCAAGGAGGGCTCTGCAACACAAACCCAGGGATGCAGCTCCTGTGCCTCTTGCAGTATTTCCATCACTAACTTCAGCTTCCCCCAAACCAACTCAGCTTCACCTGGGGCAGGAAACTCCAACCCCTCGATTCCCTGCCTCCAGTGCCTCCCCAGCTCCTCCTATTCCCCTTGGAGCACTGGAGAACAGGCTGGCTGAGCAGGCCAGGGGTGCTGCTTTGGGTCCTGCCAACAATAATTAAGAGTATTTTTGGAAAAGCCCACAGGACTCACCTTGGAACATGATTTTTGTCCTATCCAGGGGAGCCACTGCAGTTTTAGCAACAGCACCAGCCAGTGCACCAGACATCAGGGAGTTGAGCACTTTCTTCTTCTCCTGGTTGTCCTGGAACAAAGCATTGTTCAGCCCTAAGCACAAGGAATAACACTTCACCTCTGCTGCAGCATTTAACCCCCCCTTTCTCCAGGATTTGGGTCAAAATGCTTTCCTAAATTTCTAGCACAGTGAATTCCTGAGCAGATCAGGAAGCAAAATTCCAAGATCTGCCACCTCCTCCCTTCTCTCTGTTATTTCTCCTTCTCAGAGCTCAGCCACTCCCTCCCCACCATTTCTCCCCAAGGTTCTCCCAGTAACACCCAAGCCCTGTTCCCACATGGTTCCCAAGGATAAAACCAGGCAGGTTTCCTGCTCTGCTGAATGGGATGGCAGGGGGTTTGTTATTGGCATTCCTGCCCCAGCTCATGTTTATAAAGCAGCTCTTTTCTCCCAGCACACAGACAGGGAGCAGGTAAACGAAATCCAACACTGTGGAGGCTCCAGACTGTGACACGAGGCTTAATGTGAGCTTCTGACACGCTCTGTGTGGCTGTGGAGAAGAGGAGTTAACATCTCCCTTTTTTTCAGAGCGTTTCACAACTAAAAAAGTTAATGTTTGTTACCCAAATCCCTGGATTTCCCCTCCCATTTCTGCCTGCCCGGGGCTCAAGGCAAGGGCAGCCACGTGAAGGTGAACTTCAGCCTGAGCTTGGGGCTAAACCAGACCAAGGTTCAGCATCCCCTCCTCTTCCAGGGCTTCCAGCAAATCCAGCAGCAGGAGCAGCAGGAGCAGGGACACCCAGGCTCGTGGCCCTGGTCCCAGCTCTGCCAGCAGGACACAACAAGGGAACCCAGCCCTGCCTGGCAGTGCCAGCGACGCCTCTTCCCAGGGGGATGGAAACTCTTGGCTCTCCCCAGAGGAACACAAGTTACACATTCCAGGGCTGGCACACACCCTGCAGCTCTGCCAGCACCCCTGAGCTCAAATCACAGACTGCCTGGGGTTGGAAGGACATGAAAACCCATCCAGTGCCACCCCCTGCCACGGGCAGGGACACTTCCACCAGCCCAGGTTGTTCCAGGCCCCATCCTGGCTTTGGACACTTCCAGGGATGGGGCAGCCACAGCTGCTCTGGGAAATCCATCCCAGTCCCTCACTACCCTCCCAGGGAAGAATTCCTTCCCAATATCCCCTCCACCCCCACTCTCTGTCAGTTTGAAGCCATTCCCCCTCGCCCTGGCACTCCAGGCCCTTGTCCAAAGTCTCTCTCCATGTTCCTTGTAGCCCCTTCAGGTCCTGGAAGGCCACAATCAGGTCACCCCAAAGCTTCTCTCCTCCAGGCTGAACAACCCCAGCTCTCCCAGCAGAGCTGCTCCATCCCTCTGATCATCTTGGTGCCTCCTCTGGGTTTTCTCCAGCAGCTTCCACGTCCTTCCTGTGCTGGAGACCCCAGAGCTGGATGCAGGATTCCAGGTGGGGTCCCAGAATCGCCCCCTTCCCCTCCTTCCCACGCTGCTTTTGGCTCCCCAGCCCCTCGTGCTCTCACCTCTGCTGGGAGATGGGCTGCTGTGACTGGCTCCACATCCTTTGGGAATTCCACTGGACCCTCTCTCACACCATTACCCATTACCAGTCGCGCTTCCAAGGGGGCAGAAGAGTTCTGGCTCCTACATGGGGAATAAAAACCAAGGAAAAGCGTCAAAAATAAGGAATATCCAGGTAGTGAAAGCACAGGAAGGACTGACACGCTCCCAGGGCTGTTTCCAGCAGGAAACCCCTCTCCAAGCTCCCAAGGGAAGAGCATTTCCAGGATCCTCGTGCAATTCCTTTCCTTTAAGGTGTAAAGGGATGTGTGGGGGGCACTTTGGTGCCACATCAAACCTGTGTCCATCACATCCACCCTTTCCACCCCAAGAGGAACTCAGCTGCAAGCAACACCACCAAAATACCCCTCATTTCCAGGGGGAGGGGTCAGGCCCTGCCCTGTCCTCTTACAGGCAGGATTTTGGTTGATATCTCACTGCTGAGCAACCAGACATTGGAGGGGGCCTGTGGAAATTTAAACCCCCTGCCCTGGAAAAAGGGGGGGAAAAGAAAACAGTCCCAGGAGCAAGTCCCCAAAGCCTGGCAGGAGCAAGTGGAGGTTATTTTAGGGAAGAGAGAGATCCAGTGGCTCACACGTGCCAGAAAGGCTATTCTGGTGACACCAGGGATTCGACCTGCAGCAGCACATCAGTGATTTTAGGGCTCCCTCTCCTCACAGCTGCACCACAAAAAGCAGAAATACCGGCCAGTTGGAGCTGCAGAGTGTAGATGCAGAGAGAATGCTTTAAAGAGAAGCTTTTCACTTGTTTTTAGCTTTAAATTTCTAATATTTCTGCTTTTTACGGGGTGACTTTTTTGCACCACGCAGTCACTTTTTTTTTTTTTTTTTTAAATTTTTAAATCTCCAGAAATGGGAAGAGCTGCAGCTGGAAAAACCCTGGGGCAGCACAGAGAGGTGGTGAACCCGTTCACAAAAGGGTCTGTGACAACAGGGAGCGGTTTTCCGAGCCACAAAGCTGCTCCAACAGCCCCAGTGCCACCCTGGATTCCTTCCCAGGAACGTGCTCTCAGGAAATCTGAATTCCCAAACAGATCCTGTTCCCCAGTAAGTCACTTCACTCCTGCTCCCTCTGATGCCTGGCTTGGAAAAATCACCTTCAGGCTCCTTTTTTCCCCCCTCCTTTTTAACAATCTCCAGGTATTTTCTGCTTGTCAGCACCTTTCAGACTTGCTGACCTATTTTTTCCCCCCCTCCTCGTGTCTCCCATAAATTAGTGCCACCCTTCCCTCTCCAGCAGATATTAAAGGCAAAGCAGAGGCAGCTCCTGCATCACCAGTTTGGGATGATGGATCCACAAACACGCCTGGGCACCTTTAATGCCAAACATCCCAGGATCCCACACTGGTTTGGGCTGGAAGGACCTTAAAACTCACCCAGTCCCACCCCCTGCCACGGGCAGGGACACCTCCCACTATCCCAGGGTGCTCCAGCCTGGCCTTGGACACTCCCAGGGATGGGAAATCCATTCCAGGGGGGAACTCCTTCCCAATATCCCATCTCTCCCTGCCCTCTGGCGCTGGGAAAAGCCATTCCCTCTTGTCCTGTCACTCCATTCCTTGCCCAAAGTCCCTCTCCATCTTTCCTGTTGGCTCCTTCAGGTCCTGGAAGGCCACAACCAGGTCACCCTGAAGCTTCTCCTCCCCTGCTGGAGCTTTGGGAAGACACAAACCCACGTGTTTCCAGCTCCTGAGGGGGTTTTCCAGAAAAAAGATGTCGCTCAGAGGGCAATAACTCCAAATTTGAACAAGAAATAGCACCTGACACAACCCAAACATCAGCAGTGCTGGCACCCAGAAGGTTCCCCTGCAGAACTTTGGCCCTGTGAACAAAAGCTCCCTCCAGGATCAAGCCCAGGGATGATCCCATGACACAGCAGAGCAGAGCACTTAATTATTTTGAAGAGCAGTTAATTATTTCTCACTGCTACCTGCAGTCATTTCCCTCCCCTTCTCGCTCCTCCTTATCTCCCCTGCTTGGGAAAACTCACTGTAAAATTAAATAAAGCCTTTCAGCCAAGGCACCAAAGAAATCACAGGTGGAGACATTTCCCCTCCCTGGCTCCAACAAAGGAATGTAGGTCACGATATCAGATTTATCCCTGCCAAAAATAACACACAGACACACACACACACACCCCCCTCACCCCCCAAAAATAGAAATCGTGCTAAAGGGCTCAGGGATGCAAACCACAACTTTCTTTGAAAGATTGATTGAGAAAGAGATGCCTGAGAGGGGATTTGCAGAACTGATGTTAAGCCCCTGACTTTATTTTGGGACAGGCACAGGGATGAGGTGCATTCACCCCACCATATTGTCTTTCAGCCCACTCAGACATGTCCCCCTTTTATTTTTAGTGCCCTGAGCTCACAAACACCTGTTATATGCCCAGTTTTACACATTAAACTGTCCCACATGCTCTGCAGAAACACAGGCTCTAAACATGCAGAGGCTTCGAGGTAAAAATAGCATTTATTTATTGTTTTTTTTGCTGAAGGAAAGCAAGGCAGCTGTATTTTATTTTGGGCTCTGATGCCAGGGAGTTATTTTGACCAATAATGCACATTTACTGGAGCCACACAGAACAAAGGTCACGTTCAAATCCGAAGGGTGAATTTAAAGTTTTGGGGGTGAATTTGTAACACCAGACATAATTTTGTATCACCCTGACTGGCTCATTAAGTAATCCACTGAAAGCCATGTGGGTATTTTTTTTTTTAAATCCCTGTATTTCATCCTGCTCCCAACACAGCCATTCCCTGTGTTTACAAAGCCACAGGCAACCAGGAAAAAAAAAAAACAAACAAACCAAAAAAGCTGTGGATTAGATGTAATTTTTTTTATGACACACCACTGGGTTATTTATATGGGAGTTACACAAGGCCCTGTCACACATCTGGATCCCGAGGGCAGAGCAAACCATTCCCCCCAGGAATCAGGCAGGAAAACCTGCTGGCAGAGGGGAGTTTGGAAGTGAAAGGGGTTTAATGAGTAACACACTCCGTGCTTTGACACCAAAATCCACCATCATTTATGGACAGGGCAAAGCACTTCCTGCACATCCAGCAGAATAAACTGCCTGGATCAACACAGATTAAAGATTTCCCAAACTGGGGAAAAAAATAGGGAAGCTCAGGCCCCTCCTCCCTGGCACTGGCATCCCAGAAAATTGAGGTTATTGGGATGGCAAAGCTCTGCCTGGGGTGGCTTTTCCAGGTCTATCCCGGTGTTCCAACAGCTCCAGGAGCACCTGGGCACTGAAACAACCTTCACTGCCCATATCCCAGGGGATGCACAAAGGGTTTCCCCTTCCCTTTTCCAAGCTTTCCGTGGCATTCCTGGGCAATCCCACATTGTCAAACTGCCAGAGAGGGTGAGGGTTCCCAAACACCAACTCTGTCCCACATCACTCCAGCCACGATGCTGAATTCCAGCTATTTAATTTGATTATTTTTCTAACCATATTTATTTTTCTAACCATATTTTTCTAACCACGCTTTAAAATGACATTTGTCATAATTGTTCTTGAGGGTTTTTTTTTTCCAACCTCAACAATTCCGTGACCACCGGAAAACACGTTTGTGTGACGCTCCCCGGTGGAATTTAGACCTGTCCCAGAGCCCTGAGATTTCTGAGGGAATTATCATCTCCCCAGCAAAGCAGAGCAGAGCAAAGCAAACAGCACCAGCAGCTATTTGCTGAGAAATATTTGCTTTTTTCCCCTCCTGACAACCCCAGAGGGAATCACCGAAATAGTCCCGAGCCCCGTGACAGGGAATGGCAAAGCTGTGGCCCTGATGCTCACAAAATTCACTGTATTCAGGAGAAACTGGGGCTGAGGGGAGAGAAAGCAAGGCACAGACAGAAAATTAAAGGCTTTTTAAACGGAGTAATTGGGAGTTGCTGCAGCAGCACATCCCACTCTCAGCTCCCAGACAGGACACACAGTTCACCTCTGGGGCATCATCTCCCTTTCATTCAGGTAAAGCCCCCTTGTACAACTCCATTCAGACATTCCAGCTTCCCTCACTGCTCACTTATCCAGCTCCTAACTCCTTTTTTTCCTTTGGTTTATTATGTCGTTAACGTGGCTAATGAAAGCACGTAATTAAATTAGCAAAGAAGGAGAAAACCCAGAGAGCTCCTGCAGGAAGGTTCACACATTTTCCCAGGCAGGCTGAAGTGACCCAGGGAAGTTGCTCAATTAGGTTTCCCTTCAATTGTTGTTGTTAAATTGAGCAATTGAGTCTGACGGAGAGAGAGAGATGTGGTAAAAACTGAGATTACTGCAGCTTCAAAATCACCCTTGGAGCAAAAGCACCACAGGAAATCACAGGAAAAAAGGGCTGAAACGCTCAGAACGGGATGAACTCCAACCAGATGGGCCCTTGAGGTCCATCTTTGCCTTCCAGTTTGATTAAGCTGTTAAAAATCAAGCCCAGGGGTGCCCTGCAGCCCCAGCTCTCCCCAGTCACATCCATCTCCTCACACACAAATCCAGCCCCAAAACATCAGCTGTGAACACTCCAGAGCTCCCCTTCCCCTAAAGGCCTGGACAGAAACCACTGGAATTATTTTTAGGGAATCACTGCCCAAAAGACTCCCGAAATTACAGTACCTGGAAGAGTTTCATTTTCTTCCAGCCTTCCTCAGCTTTAAAGAAACCCTCCCCCTGCCTCCCCCCGGGACAAACCCCAGGCCTGCCAACAAAAACCCGGGACAAAGATCCGAATTCTTCGCGTGGTTTTGGACGATCTGACCTGAATTAGGGCACTGGGAAATGGTTAAACCCCAAAGCCCTGCAAGAAAAAAAGGCAGCTGATTATTCCTGGAGCCTGGTGTTTTTGAACAGAGCTGGGAAGGAGCCCCAGAACAGAGGGAATCTTGGCAAGGAGAGACAGAGCTTTCATTCTTCAGCTGCTGAGAGGAGCCTGTTGCTGGGAACACCTCAGCTGTGTTTTCCACAGCCAAAAGCTGGAGAGCTGCTCTTATCTGCCAGGCAGAAACCAGCTTTATCTGAGGGAGGGCAGAGCCCTCCAGCCAGGGGGGGCTGAACCCACTCCACGGGTCAGGGAGCAATTCCCTGCCTCCAGGAGAAGGCAGGAAAACAAGCCACCCACCCCACAACCCCTCAGCCTGGACACTCCTCAGAAACCCCTCCTCCGAGGTGATACCAGGAGAAAACGACAATAAAATATAAAACTACTTCAACACACAATCTCTGCTCTAAAACACCCCCACCACAGCAAAAACCCCCCGAAAAAAAAAAAAAAAAAAAGGGGGGGGGAAATAAGGAATTAAGATCTTCCATCGGGAAGCAGGATGAGCCACAGCTGTGCCAGGAAGGTGCCATTCCCTCAGGGCAAGGATTTCCACCCTGGTGGAGCCCAGGAGTTCAGGAGCTGCCCCCTCAGTGTGTGTTGTGCTCACTCTGCCTTAACTTTGGCAGGATTTAAAGTCAAGCATCACCTCTGCTCAGCCAAAACGCTGCAGGTTTCAGCTCAGTTGGGTTATTCTGGGGGTAACTCAGGTCCAGCAGCACCAACACAGACCTTCACCTTCGTGCAACAACAGGGAGCAGCAGATTTAAAGCACAGCTACAGAGCAAAGAGCTCCTTAAAACCTCATTTATTTGGTGGCCTGGAACAAGGTGTTTGCATCCCAGTTCATCTCTCCACTCCAGACAAAATGTAACACCCTTTCCCAAGCCCAGGAATATTGATGGATCACCTGGAAAACGGCACCACAGGGTGAAAAA